ATGGTAAACTGTGGCTAACTGTGGTAAACTGTGTCTAACGATGGTAAACTGTGGCTAACGATGGTAAACTGTGTCTAACGGTGGTAAACTGTGGCTAACGGTGGTAAACTGTGGCTAACGGTGGTAAACTGTGGCTAACTGTGTCTAACGGTGGCTAACTGTGTCTAACGGTGGTAAACTGTGTCTAACGGTGGTAAACTGTGGCTAACGGTGGTAAACTGTGTCTAACGGTGGTAAACTGTGTCTAACGGTGGTAAACTGTGTCTAACGATGGTAAACTGTGTCTAACGGTGGTAAACTGTGTCTAAGGATATATTGTATGTTCATTTATTTTGGGTTCTGTTTATGATATTGGTCCGATAGTTATCGTGCACCCCTAATTCATTCAGTCTGATCAGGTAAAATCAAGAGATTTTGATTTGTGATTCTAGTTCTGCAGGTTGTTTATAAAGAAAACAAACAAACAAACACAGCGTTACCGTGCATTTGAACGGCCTCTCGGTGGAGTGCACCTGCCGGACGTGACTGTTCAGGTGATCCGGCCTGAGAGACAAGAAAAGAAGTTTACAGAGGTTCCACCGGACCTCAGGTGGTCTCGGGTCTGGACTGACGGGACCCTGAGGTCCTGTACCTGGAGAAGGCCTTGGCGCAGTGCGGACAGATGTAGGGTTTCTCCACGCCGCCCTGGTGGGAGCGCACGTGGTAACTCATCCTGTCCTTCCTCTTGAAGCGCTGCTGGCAGATGGGACAGGAGTACGGTTTCTCATCGGAGTGGGACAGCCGATGGCGGTTCAGGTGGTACACGTCCCTGAAGGCCTTCCCGCAGGCCTCGCAGGCGTGGTTCTTCCTCACCTGGTTGGTGCTCGGGAGGTGGAGGGGGAGGGGGTTCTGTGTGGGCAGGAGAACAGGTTAAAGTGCCTGTGGCATCATCTTTTTGTAGTAAACGTGAATGCATTTACGGAAAGATAACACTGATAACATGATGCAAAACAAATTTCACGTCGCTCAGATGAACGGTTGTTGAGATATTTGCATGTGAAGAAACAGGAAGTGATGTCAGAGGAGAATGTCTGAATGTAAACAGAGCGTTGTTACAACTCAGACTATAGAGAAGAATCTGATGTTTATTAAGATTATTTACAGTTTCTATGAAAGAGAGATGAAGAGTTAAAGTTTCAATAACTTTGTTTTAATAAACAAAGACCAGAGTTAATTTATTAATGAGTTCCACTTTGATGTCACTTCCTGTTTCACTTTGAGCCAAATTTAAAACAAAATAGTCCAGTTATGAGACAAAATGTGTCAAATCATGTGTACTTTGCCAGTTGTCTTCAGAATAAAGATGTTTTCTGTAACATTTTGTTTAACAGCTGCTAAGTTTGAAAGGATCCGATCGTGATGGCATTGTGAACAGAACCTCAGAACCGGACTCTGGTCCCGTCAAACCCACCTGCTCCACAGAACCCACCACGACCACCGCCGCCTGGATGGGCTGCGGCGGCGCAGCCAGGGTGATGGTTGCCGGGGCGATGGAGACGGCGATGGGCTGTCCCTCCTGGTTGGTGAGCTGGATGGGCTGGGGGAGTGTCTCCGGGGCGATGACCTGGGCGGGAGGCGGAGCCTGGGGGGGCAGGGTGAGCTGCAGGAGGGACAGGGGGATGGTCTGCTTCTCCAGACGTCCCACCTTGGCGGCGTCCTCCTTGTCCCGCGCCGCCCGGTCCTTCATCTTGATGCCCGTGTGGACAGACTGGTGGCGCCGCAGGTTGTAGCTGTTCTTGAACTCCTTGTTGCAGGTGGCGCAGATGTGGGCGGGGCGGGGAGGTTTGGGGAGGGGCTTAACTGGCGGGAGGAGACAATGATTTTAGACACGTTTAATCTGAGCGTGTTTCTGTCAAACAAACCTCAGGTCCACGTCCTCACCGGGCAGCGGCTCCTCGCTCAGCGCCGCCGTGTCCACGGTGGACGGCGGCGTCACGATGTGCTCCGCTGGCGGACTCTGAGCCGGACCGCTGAGCTCAGGAAGCAGCTCGGCCTGGAGCGGCGTCTCTGGTTGGCTCTGAGTCGGTGTCGTCTGCACAAACATGTTCACAACATAAGCCAGAGATTCTTAACCTCTGGGGGCCGCGAGCGCCACCTTCAGGGCCTCAAAAGAATTACAGTTTTATCTTTGGGCTGCATTGATTTTGAATAAGGTGTAATACACTTTGTCACCACTAGTAGCAGTAGTGCACCACTCAGATGTTTAACAA